CCTGCTTCACATGATGCACCTCATATTTTACATTTAGTTGCTTACTGGTTTGTTGTGAACGCTCACGAGGAGCAGCTTCAGCAACAGACTGATAGAACCTCGCCGCTCCAAGGAACATCACAGGAGGTCGTTCCTCCCAACAGCTATAAGACTCTTTAATGCTTCATTATAAGCACATTTCTCTTATCTCTCTTATATATTCTTGTAAATTTGTTGACTTTTCTAGATTATATTTTCTCTATTTTTATCCTATTTTATTTTAACTTATTTAACCTTCATTTTTTTTATACAGCAATTTCCCTGAGGTTTCCACCAAAGGGATCAATAAAGTTCTATTCTATTCTATTCTATTCTATTCTATTCTATTCTATTCTATTCTATTCCCTATTATCCTGTGTTGTCTTTTCCTTGTTTACCCCTTGTTGTGTATTGCTGCTGTAACACCTGACATTTCCTTCTGGGATTAATAAAGTCAGTCTAACAGTGTTGCCGTGTTTAAACCATCTGGAAGCTTAAGTGAAACTAAGTAAACGACGGAGAGCGTTGAAGCTTAGCTCTGGTGTGTAGCTGTGTGACCGTTACCTAGTAGACCACTCCTCATCGCTCTTGGCTCGCTCCTTCCTGGCTGCTCTCTGTTTCTCCTCCAGCCTCTCTTTCTCCTTACTCGCCTCTTCTGCACAAAAACAACACAAAAAAGGTCTGAAAATTGCAAGATTCATTGATCAGATAAAAGGAGCTTGAGCTAAAATACATTTTTTTTATTTGAGGTTAATTAAGTTTTATTAAACATGTTGAAGTAAAGATCACGCAGGACAATAACGCAGGCATCCAGCAGGTGGCAGCATTTTCATATTATTCTTTGTATTGAATTGCTTGAACAGATCACGCTGCAGAGTGAAATGTTGCATCACTGGTTTGTGTCACTAACAACATATTTTAAAGGTCAACAAGTTGCTGCACAAGCAAACAGAGGCACACTAAACGCCGATAAGAGCCTTAAATCAAATTACCCATGTTGCCGTTCTCCATGGCTCTGATGTCGGGCCTGAAGCGACAGTCGGTGGGCGCCAAGATGGCCTCCATGCCGGGCTCCAGCTCATTGAGAGACATTGCAAAGTTTGTGAAGTTGTACATCTGGAGAAGGAAGAGCAGGAACAAGGATGAGTGTCTGGAAATGAACGTCCTCTTATTGCCCTATCACTGACCAGCACCATTATGTTAGGTACATCTATTGAAAACAGTTACTGTGGGTTTACTGGGCTGCATGTTCAGAACTTCTTGTACCTGAAAAGCACCTAAATGTCCATCAGTTTATTCATTCTATCCTGTGGTGAGCCTGTCCATGCTTACACACTGGGTGGAGAAACACCTACAGCCAACATACAATCACCAGTTGATCTACATGGACTGTGGGAGGAAGCTGGACAAAACCAACACAGTAAAGCTCCGGCTAAGCAGCAGTTTTAAAGCCCAGTGCCAACACCTGCCTCACCACCCAGGCTTGTCACAGTTTGTCAATGTCAAGAGCTGATATAAAACAAACTAATCTCTGATTTTATGCTACTGTTTGGGTTGTGTGCTTTGCCCCAGTGTGACGGTGTTTGTTCAAGGCTGTGGGTGTGCCTGTGTGACGTCAGTACCGTTGCAGAGTGTGCTGGTCTGGAGTCTATCCTCCACAGCAGAGTGCTTCCTGGTACAACGGACACCGTCTCCTGGACTTCGGGCATGTCGTCGGCATCGTCGTTCTCAGCTCCGTCAGGCTCCTCCTGGAAAACCAACACCTCTGTGTCACTACTCACACACTGGAAATATTCACAGGCAACTTCACAATACAAATGTGTACTTCATCTACATACCATGGTTCGTTTGAAGTATTTCCATTAGGAAAACTACATGCATTTTGCAGCTATTGCACGTCACTACAAATACATGAGCAGACTAAAGCCAAAAACCTAAAAACCTGAAGCACTGATCTACACAAGTCTGCAGGTTTACCTGGATCAGATCACACAGGGTGCTGTGGACACCAACAGAAAATCAAGGCAGAAAGGAAATAAAGAAATGGAACTGACCACAAAGTGAATAAACAGCAGTTAAAGAAAAACAAAAATACTAGTGTTAAAGTGTTTTTAAAGGTTTTATATCAGTATTATAAACTCAGTCCTGTCCTGAGGAGTTGGCTAGCCACCTCCTCAGGTTATGGACTCAGCAGTCCACCTGCATCTTAAGGACAAAGGACACTCATTTGAAGACAACAACGTACAGATTTTGGCCTGCAGGGAGGACAGATGGTTTGAGAGAGGGGAGAAAGAATCCATCTATTTCCAACTGGAAAGACCATCCCTCAACAGAGGTGGAGATCTGAGGCTTCACCTCTCACCTGTTTACAATTCAGTCCTAAGATCTCTCCCCAGGAAGATGAAACCACATCACACCTAGCCACCTAAGACCCTAACGAACCCCATTGTGGCAGGAGGAGCACTAACAAGGCAGGAGGAGCAACAAACCCTCAATTGAAACCGAAACTCAGGTGTTAATGGCTCCTTTAGGATATAAGTATCTGGAACTCCCAAGTAGTCAGTCAGAACTGCCTCTTGGATGAGAGGTGGAACGTCTTCAAGCAAGTACAGCTGCTACGATTAACTCACGAGAATAACCACTAAAAAGATTATCCAGCAATCCGCTCCGAAAACATTAATTGTAGCCACGTTTAGCATTCCTTCAAAAAAAACGAAACAAACAAACAGCAGACACAGAGGCTCAGATTTGTTCTTACATTTTTATGCTTTTTGTTATCTCCTTTTTTCTCCGACTTCTTGTGGGCCTCGTACGCCTGAGGGTCGACACTCCACATGCACTCGGTCCACTTCCCGTAGATGACACACAGCTTCTTTTTACTGGACAGAAAGAAAAAAAATGTTAGCAGAGGAAGAAGAGAGGATGGAAAATGGGGGAAGAGGGCCGAGATAAGAAAGGAGAAAGGCAGGACGAGACAAGACGGAAGGTGGAGAGGAAGAGAAGGCAGTATGGAGGAGGAAGAATACAGAAAAGGACAAAAGGAAGAATAAGAAACGGAGGAAAGAAGTGACAGACGAAGAGTTCATATTCGAGAAAAGACAGACACGAGATACTTGAACAAAGCAGAAGCAAATGGAAAATGATTAGAACAAGAAAAATATGACAAATCTTGCAAACAATAACATTATTTTTCATACTGTAAGTGAGCAGCAGTGATGTAAGACTAACTTCTAACCTCTTGTCTTGGATGTATCCCTCCACTTTGTGCAGCTCTTTGCCAAACATCCCACATGGCTTGAAGGTCAACACACACTTGTCTCCAGTGCTGCAGGAGAAAACAGGAGAGAAGAAGAACAAGCACCTCTTCATTAGCTGAGTTTTCTAAGTCACAGTGAACAATGTTAGATTAGATCATTTGTTGACAGATTATGCAATAAAACCTTAAACATTCTTAAATTAACATGCATCAGTTTGCTTTAAGTTCATATTAGAGATCTAAAGAAGGAGAAAAAAGTCTACGTGTTTTTCAATCTGTGTGAGATGCGTCACAGCTCCTGGTGGAAATCTGGCGACCGTGTAAATACGACAGAGCGTGCCAGAAATAAGGGATATGCGAGCTTAATGTGAGCTTTGCAGAGCTTCACTGGGTAAATAAAAAAGGCTAAAGAAGTGCTTGACGAGCCACACAGTGAGTAAACAAGTAGTAAAGTATCAGAGTCAACAGTGAGACGATGCAGGCGGCACACGGCGGGATAATGAGCAGCTCTGAGAAACAGACATCAGTCAGCTTTACGGGGCTTCGTTTTCACTCGACTGTGGTTCAGAGCAGAAGTTCTGGATATTAAAGTGAGCCAGTGGAGGATTTAATGTTAGACTGATGTAATTCTGGCTTATTACCACAGACTGTATAAAAGACGGACGTAGCAACCGGCCCCGGAAGTGTCAAAAACCTTCAATATCACTACATCCGCTAGCTGCTGGCTCCAAACACCCCTGGCTCCCATAGAAATGAATTGGAAAAGAAGTGATCACAGATCATTCCTACAGCTCAGGATGTTTTTCTTATTAGTTTTCATGGTCAAATCCAGAGATCAGGTGGCCAATCTGAAAATAAATCAATACTGAATTTTTAAAAAATGATCAACATTTTGCGGGGCAAGGGGCGTGGCTGGCTTGATTGACAGTCGGCAGCGACGATGCAGACGAAGCGAGCAGAAGGCGGTAAATGTGGGCGGGGCAGAGAGGGCCCGCCTCTCAATCCGTCTGACCAATCGCTGCTCCTATGGCTCCGCCCCCCTCCGACGATTTTCCAAAAATCCAAGATGTCAACCAGGAAGTAGCAAAACCCTGGCTTCATTTTCTCAGTGCAGAAACCAACGGGTGACATCACGGTAGCTACGTCCATCTTTTATACAGTCTATGTTAATTAAGTTTAACTTCATAGAGGACCGATCTCCCCTTTGGACAGAATCTGAGATAAAGAAAATAGAATCTATCTAAAACACTGTCAGTAAATGATCAGATTTACACCATCGAGTATCTTAAATGTTTGAACTTTTTGTCAGACGAGCTTTTTACAGACTGTTGTATACCTGTGGTTGACTATCTCCACGGTGCCATACTGCTCTATCCACAGCTTGCCCAGGATGATGTTGTGCACGCAGCAGTAAGGGTTACTCCATGTGTACACCTCATTGTGCCTGGAGGAGAAGAGAAAAGACAACGTAAGGATGAAGAGAGGAAGTAAAAGAGATGATGGGAGACAAAAGAATGTCATGAGGAAATAAAATTTGTTTTAAAAATGGTGTCTATTTTCCACCATTTTCAGTGACTCACTTGAGAAGCTCTAGTGTGATGGTCCCTTTAGGCTCTGCCTCAACACTCTTGCCCCAGAACTTGAGTTTGGGGTAGATGGAGCCGTGGAAGACGAAGTCCCCGACCAGGCTCTCGGCGTGGAAGGCACTGACTGGAGGATGATGGGAAACCTGCTCCGACACCAGCCGGAAGCCCTGTTCCTCTCTGAGGACAGCAGGGTGGAACACAAGAGGATAAATCAAGCCTGAAGACAGGACGAGTTTCAAATAATGATGTGTTTGTGTTTGTGTTTGTACCTGGTGAGCTCGTAGGTCTCCCCCAGCAGAGGGTTGAAGGGTTTTCCAGTTCGGTCCCACTGAGATGCAACTGCTGACACAGCAAAAGCAGCTACTGCCTGAAGACAGACGAAGACAGACGAGACGTGAGCACGCGTTTAGCTGCAACAAGTCGCCTTTATTCATCTGGTGCATGTGAGCCTCAACGTCTGTTTTTTCTGACCACATGTTCTTACATTAACTTGTTGAAGCTGATTTTTTATTAATGAACTAACAGTATGTGTGTCTGTGTGCTTTAATTAAAGCAGTTTGGTCAGACTTCAGTGCAGCTGTTTACATTCACCATTTGTTATTACCTGAAAACGTCACAGTCAAATAAACAAAGTGGGCCTACACTTATTTACATTATTTCGGGCTCCAACCATTTTTTGTCAGTGTGTTTTATGTGGTTGGATTTGTCAGAGTTTATATCAATCTTGGTCTGATTTAGAGACACTAAGTTCGGCCTGGGTCGCTACCGTAACGAAAACAAGTGTGTTTCCTTCTGAAAACAGTACGAGGAGAGGAAGAGGCAGGTGGAGAGGGAGAGGTCCTGATGATGAGGGTGGAAGAAGATTACAACTGAGTCAATGTAAGAAGAAAAAGTAACCCACTACATTCAATCACAGCGGCAACATCTGCTCATAGAAAACTCTGCTCACAGAAAAAGGTAAATAAAATGAGCTGGCTTCAAATTGAGCAGTCGGACATTAAAACACCTTATTTTACTGTTTTTCAGTTAATTGTTAGCCACACGTCTCTCTGCAAGAATACCACAGCCTGCATATGAGGCGTTTAGGGAACATCCGTGAATTGTATTGTCTGTTGACATGCAGACAGGTGAGGAGTTCAGCCTGTACACAGTTTATAGGAGTGATATCATATAATCTCAGGAAAAATACTGGTGACAGTATGATGTACTGCTACCAGTAGTTAGTCAGGAGCCCTGCTAGCTTCTTTACTAGACAGTGAGATTTGAATCACATGTAATCAGCAACTCACACAAATATAAAGTGGAAGTTAAAGATAAAGGACGAGATGTTTTATTTCAGGTTTATACACTGACTTGAAGACATTGTGCTCTGTTGAGCTGTAACTGCAGAAACGTGTTCATGTGCCTGACCTGCATGCGCTCTATGGAGTCCGACAGCGAGCAGGCTCTGTTGATGAGGTAAGTGTGTTCCATGTATTCAGTGATTCTCTGCAGGAAGCTCAGAGGCTCGTTGAACACGATGGGCATCGTGATCTTGGACAGTTCCTGTGAATAAGCACAAAACATCATCTGAACTTAGCAAACTGTAGCATCATTTAAATTTCAATCCAACCAATGCTCGAAAAACAAAATGTAAAGAGACCAATGTACAGATTCAGGCCGACACACCTGCTGAATACTGTTCAAAAAACTATTTGGTTTAGTTATTAGTTTTTATTTGTGTTCCTATATCCATAGTATAATTTAAAATACCACCCAATGTGACCCAGTAAAACTAGCATGCAGCTTGTGAAATCCTGCTTTAAATGTTATGTTGTGTCAAGGGAAAAAAGGCGACGCGAATCAACCGACACCACAAAGCACCACATGGCCTAAAATGATTTACTACCCTGGTCATGGTACATCTAGTATATTATCAGCATACAGTATTCTACCACTCATGAAAGACTTTATGTGTACACTGTGTTTGACACTGAGTTACTGATGCGGTCATCTACTAAACCAAGGAGATGATTTTTGACCCGAGGAGGAGGGAGGTGCTGCATTCCCCCATTTACATCGGCGAGACTAAGGTGGAGAGGGTGGAAACATTCAGATTCCTCGGCACACATATCAGCAGTGATCTCATCTGGTCCCACAACATTAAAGAACTGTCAAAGAGAGCGCACAAACAACTGTACTTCCTCAGGAGGCTGAGGAAATTTGGGATGCCTCCCGAAATCCTCAGCAACTTCTACAGAGGTGCAGTCGAGGGTGTGCTCACCGGCGCCCTCACTGTGTGGCATGGGAACTGCTCCCTGCAGGACAGGAAGGCCCTCCAGCGTATAATAAAAACTGCACAAAACGTCTCTAGAGTGGCCTTCCCATCGCTGCAGGACATCTACACCAGTAGGGTCATCAGGAACGCCCACAACATCATTAAAGACCACACACACCCACAGCACACACTCCTCACACTGCTGCCGTCAGGGAGGCGCTACAGGAGTGTGAAGTCAAGGACCACAAGACTGTCAAACAGTTTGTTTCCTCAGGTCATCAGTCTCCTGAACAACCAGAAACAATGATCACTGCTGTTTAAGTTCCAGTAACATGTGTCACCAGGCACTGTGCACTTTAAATGTTTATCTGCTGCTACATCACCTCACACATGCTGCTACTTGTAAATAGACAATATGCACCTTTATTATGTATATGGGAGTGTGCAAACGAGACAATTTCAATGCCCAGTGTTAAACTGCTGTTTTATGCTGTGCATATGACAATAAATATCTATCTATCTCTATCTCTATCTATCTAAATGTGTAAACTAGCACTTTAACATGTGTGGAAACTACTGTGTCCTCACCAGTCCAATGCATTTCTTCAGGATACTCCAGACACTGATAGTGTTTCTGGAAAACATGGGTGCAGGTAGAGATTTCCTGGGGAAAGAAGAGAAAAACAAGGTTGTGAATAAGAGGATGATGTGGTCTGTCGAGTCTGTCAGCAGCGCAGCAGACAGGAAAGTTATTTGTAGATAAGGAACGGCAAATAATCCAAAGAAATAGGAATACACGACTGATTCTCCCCGTATGGGACAACGTTGATGTGACGATTGTGGACAAACAGCAGTGTTCACATAAACAGAAACCAAAGCCAGAGTCACGTCTCTAAACTGGTACGCCTTGTTTTCAACTCTCTGAAAGCAGTTCTTGGGCATTTTTTTTGCTCTTGACACGTTTCCTGACAGTAGGCTCATTTTTTACTGCACTATAGAGTCCTGCACCTCAATGAAAAGCACAACCATGACAAGAAGGAGAGACAAGTCAACCATGTCTGTTGTGCTGTATCAGCTATATTGCAATAAATGGATGGATGGATGGATGGATTTCTGTGTTTTACTATTACAATTACTTTTATAAACTGTTGTACCACATTTTTGTGGCCAGATTTTGGAAACCTGGTATCTAGACAAACAGGGTGGCTCTACATATCACACATATTTCACATATTTACGTTTCATTTCCTTTTATTAGCAGCTCTGTGTAAACACTGCCTGCAGTTCAGCTGAAAGATCTGAGTCACGTAACGTGTTCTGGTTGCACCGAGGAGAATCTGGTGAGAGCAGATAGTTTATTTTAGGTTAATGTTTAACTAAGACATGATTTAGATCAAATATCACAATTTGAAGCTTTGGTTTCAATCATTTACCAAACAGAGTACACATGATTAGCTGAGGGGCCGTTGTTAGGAGGAAAATCTGATTGTTTTTACAGTTTCTAGCTGTTTGATTTTTAAAATGTAATATCCATTTCAAAGCCTCATGCAGGTTTTTGGGCTTCAGGGGTTTAAGGCTAACTTTTGAACATAATCAGATACCAAACCTAATGATAAAGTTATTTATCAGGATTTATTTTTCTCCAGTAAATTCAAAATTAAACTCATATTGTTTTCAGCTTTAGTAAATATTAATCCACAACAATGTAATGCACAAATTTGTCGCAAAACATTTTAAAATATGCCAACAAAAGAAAATATAAAAATCTCTAAATGAAAACAAAGGGGGACTTTTCAACCCGAGTCAGTAAAAGCTGTGAGCAGGCCTGCACCGGCTCCACGAGGAGGCTTCCAGTAGTTTCTGAAGACGACACAATGCAGCTCCAATTATCTGAATACGCACGCTGCAGGTGGAATGCGGTGCAGGAATGCAGCAGTACCTGTGTTTCTTGATGCCGTTCTCCTGCGGTACTGATCCATTGTTCTTCTGACTGCTGCTGCTATCAAACACTTGTGCATCTTTGAAACTGGCCTCCGACACGCCCTCGTACGACTCGTCCGAATCCAGGCCTGTGGGAAGAAGGAAAAAACGAGGCACAATAGTCGATTATGTTCAGCGCAGACGTAGAAAGTCAGATTAAAACTTATCATATTATGAAACAGGCACAAATAGGCCGTTATGGTGATACT